ATCTGAGCACTCTATTCTGTTCCAGTGGTCTACGTGTTTGTGTTTATGCCAGTATTTTGCAGTTTTGATGACTATAGCTTTGCTACATAACTTGAAATTAGGCAGTGTAATGCTTCTAGCTCTGTCCCTCTTGCTCAAAATTGCTTTATTTGAGGTCTTTTATATTTCCACAGAAACTGTAGGTTTTTAGAATTTTTGTTGAAAATGCTATTGGAATTCGATAGCAATTGCTTTAAATAATACACCAATTTGAGTAGTATGTTTAAATATTAATTCTTCTAATCCATGAACACAAGTATTTTTGTCTTTTCTTAATTGCCTCAATTAATATTTTACAGTTTTGTTGTACAAATCTTTTACCTTCTTTATTATATATATTCCTAAGTATTAGGTTGGTGCAAGTGTAATTGTGGTTTTTGCCATTACCAACCTAATGCTTTATTCTTTTTGATGTTATGGTAAATGTAACTGTCTTCTTGATTTTTCCCAGATATTTGTTGTCAAGGTATAAAAATGCAATTGATTTTTTGTACATTGATACAGTTGTATCCTACAAACTTATTAAAAGTTATTAAATTGTGTAGATACTATTAGGGTTGTGAAGATAAAGGACACATAGGCCCATTTCAAGTCAGCACATAAACATAGAAGGACGATTAACAGTGTAAGCTTGTAGCTTATGGTAAATGTTGATTGGAACAGACAATAAATTATGGAGTACTTCAGAGGACACTAAGCTTGGATGGGATCTTAGAAGTTTTACAGGTCAATGCCACTCCATCTATTGGCTGATTGTCATTAGGTTAATAAATGAACAACAACAAAGTTAACATGTATCAATAAAAGTTAAAACCATTTTGTTGAATATCCATCATGTCTGTGCCATTGTAGTGTACTAGGTGCCTTACAACACTTATGAGTCCTCTCCTTACAAAATGCTTTTCACAAAATATGAATTTCCAAAGTCAATGGCGTGAATAGTTGTGGTCCAGACATATAATGTTTGTTTTTAAAATCTTTATACAGCCTTGCATCCTTTTTCCTTTCCCTCCTCTTACCATTTTAAAATGTGCTATGATTTTTATCTAAGACTAACCTGTGTAATGTTGCTATAAGCCAGTATTCAACTACTGTGTTTGATGAATCATAAAATGGTGTGAAATTTCAATTAGTGTTCTTTTTAAATAAAATGCTATTTATGAATGCATCCAGCAAAATGCTTCTAATTTGTGTATTCACAAAATATTAGTTTTCTGTGCATCTAACAAATAATGTGAAAATCCAAAATGAATATAAAATATTAGCTAATATGTATGTCAAAATATTATACAAGTATAAAAACTATGATATATTATTACTTTCATATATGTAAAAAATTAGCAATTTTGTCAACATAAATATAATCTTTATATCTAAACTTGTATTAATTCATTTAAGAGTTAATACAGTATCCTAAAGTCATCAAATATTTAAAAACAAAATGTATTCTGACTTAAAATATATGTAAAATTAACTATTTTCAGCTGAGCGCAGTGACTCATGCCTGTAATTCCAGCACTTTGGGAAGCCGAGGCAGTCCAATTGCTTGAGGTCAGGAGTTTGACACCAGCCTGGCCAAAACTCCGTCTCTACTAAAAATACAAAAGTTAGCCAGGCTTGGGGGAGCATGCCTGTAATCCCGACTACTCTGGAGGCTGAGGCAGGAGAATCACTGAACCCCAGAGGCAGAGGTTGCATTGAGCCAAGATCATACCACTGCACCCCAGCCTGGGTGACAGTGAGAATCCATGTCAAAATAATAATAATAGTAACTACTTTCTGTGAGTCCCAAATAAAACAGCATTACAGAACACTGAATAATTTTGAGTTTGGTTTTCTTGGTTTTATTTTGTTTTAAATTTAGTTTTGTTCACCTTGACCAGTGGGCCTGTGGTTCTTAGGTGCACCAGTTTTCATTTTTAGGCTCAAGATTTTAAAACTTTAATGTGGTAATTTCTCTGATTTTTGGATAGTTATTTCTCAGGTTACAAGTTAAAATAAAATTTCCATTTTACTAAAGTCCTTGGTTTATTAATGATTTCATGAGTTAATATATAATTTAATGAGTAATAAGGGATGCTATAAAATTTCAGAAAACAACACTAAATAACTTATTCATAGAACCAAACACCACCTGTTTCCCAAACACCTATTAAAATAAAAAAAAATCAATAATTTTTAAAAATAACTAAAAATAAAATGAAAATGAAAAAAATATATATCCAGGTTTAAAAAAACTGTATTTCAGTTAAACAACAAATACTTTTTGGAGGCTGTCAACTCTACTACAAAATTATTTGCTGTTTATTATAATTAATAAGACAGATACAAAATAATTTTAAAAAATGAAGAATAGTAAGTAAAAAAAAAAAATAGATTTTAACAAATACTGGTATATTGGTGAAGGCTGGACTCAGTGGCTGTTTTCCAAAGTGGTTACACCAGTTGGGTGTGGTGGCACACACCTATAATCCCAGCACTTCCAGAGGCCAAAGCAGGCAGATCACTTTAGCTCAGAAGTTTGACCTGGGTTACATGGCAAAACCCTATCTCTACCAAAAAATGTAAAAATCAGCCACATATGATGGCATACACCTATAAGTCCCAGCTACTTGGGAGGCTGAGGTGAGAGGATCATTGTGCCAGGGAGGTCACAGCTGCACTGACCATGTTCATGCCACTGCACTCCAGCCTGTGTGACAAAGAAAGATTTTGTCTCAAAAAAAAAAAAAAAAGTTGGTGACAATGAGGAAGAATTGGAACCCACATACATTACTGGTGGGAACATAAAATGGTGTCATCAAAATGGTGTCATCAATTTGGGTGTTTCTTTTCTTGTCATTTGATTTTTTAAAAAAACCAAGATATTGTCTACCTATGTTGCCCAGGCTGGTCCTGAAGTCCTGGGCTAAAGCAATCCTCCAAAGTCAGCCTCCCAGATAACTGAGATTAAAGGTGTGAGCCACCAAGCCTGACTGGTGTAACCACTTTGAAAAACAACATGGCAGTTTCTCAAAGGCTAAGTGTATAGTTATCACATAATGCAACAATTTCACTCCTGGGTATAAATCCAAGAGAAATAAAAATATATGTTCACACAAAAACTTGCATATGAGTGTCCATAGTAGCATTACTCATGATGGCCGATACGCAGAAACAATACAAATGTCCATCAGCTAATGAATGGCTAAACATAAACTATTATTCAGCTAAAAAAGGTAAGAAATACTGATACTATAACATGAAAGAAATTTGAAAACATTGTGCTAAGAGAAAAAAAAGCAAACTATAAAAGATCATACATTGTACAATTCTATTTCTGTAAAAGGTCCAGATTAGGCAAAATACTAATGACAGAAAATAAACCAGTGATTGCCTATGAAGACACAGGATTGTTGGGGAAGTAGGAGGTAGCTGCTAAGAGGTGAGGGCTTCTGATTCGTAAGTGGGTAACTCATAAGTGGATAATCACTTTTAAAAGTGACTGTGGTGATAGATGCACAGCTCTGTGAATATTCTAAAAACTACTGAATCACACACTTTTTTTCTTTCTTTTTTTATTTAGAGACATGGTCTCTTTCTGTCACTGACACTAGTGCAGTGGCACCATCTGGTCTCACTGCAACCTATGCCTTCTAGGCTTAAGTGATCTCCCAGCCTCATGTCCCCAAGTAGCTGGGACCACAGGTATGAGCCAACACACCCAGCTAACTTTTGTATTTTTTTAGAGATGCTGTTTTGCCATGTTGCACAGGCTAGTCTTGAACTCCTGAACTCAAGCAATCCACCTACCTCAGCATCCCAAAGTCTTAGCATTATAGGAATTAGCCACTGCACCCTGCCTGAATTGCATACTTTGATACATGAAATATATGATGTTAATCATATTTCAATAAAATTATTATTTTAAAAAAGGCCATGCGTAGTGGTTCACACCTATAATCCCAGCACTTTGGGAGGCTGAGGTGGGCAGACTGTGTGAGGTCAGGAGTTGGAGACTAGTCTGGCCAATATGGTGAAGCCCCATCTCTACTAAAAATACAAAAAACTTAGCCAGGCATGGTGATGTGCACCTGTAATCCCAGTTACTTGGGAGGCTGAGGCAGGGGAATTGCTTGAACCAGGGAGGTAGAGGTTGTAGTGAGCCAAGATGGCACCACTGCACTCCAGTCTGGGCAACAGAGACTCCATCAAAAAAAAAAAGAAGGAAAAGAAAAGAAAAGAGAAAACAAAAGGAAAGAAAATGGGGGTTGAACACAGGTGGCAAAGGCCTGCGTATAATTCCAGCACTTTGGGAAGCTGAGGCAGAAAGATCACTTCAGGCCAGGAATTTGACACCATCCTGGGCAACATAGCAAGATTCCATCTCAATAATAAAAAATAAAGAAGTTAGCTGGGCATAATGGCAAACATCTGTAGTCCCAGCTACGTGGGAGGCTGATATGGGAGGACTGTTTGAGCCTAGGGATTTCAGGCTGCAGTGAGGCATGATCAAGCCACTGCACTGCAGCCTGGGTGACAGAGCAATAGCTTGTCTCTAGGAAGAAAAACAAAAGAAATGTAAGTTTTCATCACCTTCTGAGAGTAATCGACTTTTAGGAGGAATAGAGAAGAACAAAAGACCACTGAATGGTTGAGGGTGGGTTGCTGATTAGGCTCAGTTGCTAGCTGAGTAGTATCTGAAAAATTCATTAGTAAAATTACAGCTCTAGGGATCAGTCATGCAGTCGAATGATGAATGCTAAATTCATTACAAATGCCCATGGTCTTTCTTTACATTAATTCCAGTGAAAAATTCCTAAGTGCCTAAATAGCAAGGGGGTTGAAATGACAGCAGCTCTTTACTAAAAACCAAAATAGGAAATGGCATCTTCAAGAACCATGAGAGCGTTCCATGCTGAAGCAGCTCTAATTTTGCATTTGCTGAAGTATTGATTTGATTTAACCAATATGATACTAACCTTAGGTACAGTGTGCAAACAACTCCACTTCATCTCCTCATTAACAGAAACTGAGTAGTCTAACATCAATTCTGATTTTTAAAAAGTTAATTAGAAAAAGAATTAATTAATTATGGAACCAATAAGATGTTTGAATAGTTACAAGCTATTTAAAGGAGAATTCAAAAAAACCACACAATATGAGGATGTAAAGTATGATGAAATAAATTTCATTAATATATTTAAAAATAAACTGATTAGGCAGCAACAACTGGGCACAGGTCTCCTCATCTCCAGCAACACAAACCCAGTCACGCAGCTATGAGGTTGAGGAGCTTACACAGTCAAAAAGGGATTGGTCTGATTTAAGATTTTTAGTTGTATTTGTATTTTGAGACAGGGTTTTACTCTGTCACTCTGGTTGGAATGCAGTGGTGCACTCATAGCTAACTGCAGCCTTGACCTCCTAGTCTCAGGGGATCCTCCTGCCTCAGCCTCACCATAGCTAGGACCGCAAGTGAGCACCACAACTCCCAGCTATTTTTCTGTGTGGAGAAAGAAGCTTTGCTATGTTGCCCAAACTGGCCTCAAACTCCCACCTTCAAGAGATCTGCCCACTTCAACAACTGGCATAACTGGTTCTACAGACACATACCACCATGCCTGGATAATTATATTATTTTTTATTTGAGTAGAAAGGAGATCTTACTATGTTGCCAAGGGTAGTCTCAAACTCCTGAACTTAAACAGTCCTCCCATCTCTGCCTCCCAAAGTGCTGGCACTACAGGCATAAGCCACTGCACTGGCCTGACTTGAGGTTTCTTTAATCTAGCATCCCATACTTCATATAATTGGGAAAGGCTGTACTTTTTTTTTTTTTAATTACTTAGTATTTCAATAAGAATCAACGATCTCTCACCACTGCCACGACCCTGGTCAGAAACACTTATCTCCCACCTGGATGTTGCCACGACTTGGTCTCCCTGCTTCTACCCAAATCTTCCCACAATCTTTCTCAACACAGCAGCCAAGGGATGTTTTTATATCAGGAAACAGTTCATGTTGCCTCTCTGCTCAAAATCCTCCCACGGTTCCCATCTCAGTCAGAGTAAAAGCCAAAACCCCAGCAATAGCCTCTCAGGGCTTACACTATCTGTACTGATCTCAGCCCAACAAGTCCCTGGCCTCCTCCCCTACTTCTCTCCCTCATGGCCTCCTCCCCTACTTCTCTCCCTCACTCTGCCTCTTTCCTAAGTTTCAGACACACCACGGAGTTCCCTACTGGCATCTTTATTCTGTTGTTTCTGCCTACAATGCTCTTACCTCAGCACCTTGGCCAGCTACTTTCCCTCCTTCAAGTCTTTCCTCAAATTTTCACTTAGGCCAACCCTGAACACTTATTTAATATTGCCATCTGTCCTCATTCATGCCATACTCACTCATTTCTTTTTTTTTTTCTTTTACAAAATCTTGCTGTGTCACTCAGGCTAGGGTGCCATGGCACAATCACAATGCACTGAGACCTCAAACTCATAGGTCAAAAAATCATCCTGCCTCAGCCTTTCTAGTAGCTAAGACTACAGGTGCATACTACCACACCTGCTGTTTTTTTTTTCTTAGATGGGGCATCACTATGCTTCCCAGGCTTGTCTTGAACTCCTAGGCCAAAGCAATCCTCCTGCCTCAGCCTCCTAAATACCTGGAATTATAGGTGTGGGCCACCACCCCTGGGTTCATGTTCATTTCTTCCTGCTGATGTTACAAACTGCCCTACATTGAGTGCCTTAATACACCACAAATCTACCACCTAACAGTTCTGGGAGCCAGAAGTCCAAAATAGGTCAATTAAGGCTAAAGTCAAGGTGTCAGCAGGACTGCATTCCTTCTGGAGGCTCCAGAGAGGATGTGTTCCTTTGCCTTTCCCAGCTTCTAAAAGCCACTGCCATTCCTTAGCTCATGGCCCCTAACTGCATCTTCAAAACCAGAAACGAAGCATATTCAAATCTCCCTCTCTGACCTCTGCTTCCGTCATCAGATCTCCTCCAATTCTGACTCTCTTACCTCCCTCTTTCTCTTACAAAATCACTTGTGACTGCTGGACACAGTGGCCATGGCTTACACCCATAATCCCAACAGTTTAGGAGGTCAAAGCGAGGAAACGTCTGAGGCCAGGAGTTTGAGACCAGCCTGGGAAACATAGTTAGATCCTCAACTAAACAACAAAAACAAAACGAAATAAGAAAAGAAAAAAATAGCTGGGTATGGTGGTATGCATCTGTAGTTTAGGCTGCTTGAGAGACTGAGGTGAAACAATCGCATTAGCCCAGGAGTTCGAGACCAGCCTTGGCAACATAACAAGATCCCATCTCTATTAAAAAATACAAAAATTAGCTGGGCTAAAAAATACAAAAATTAAATGGATGGTGCATACCTGTAGTCCCAGATACTTCGAAGGCTGAGGTGGGAGAATTGCTTGAGCCCAGGTGGTTGAGGCTGCAGTTAGCTATGACTGCGTCATTGCACTTCAGTTTGGAAGAGAGAGAGAGACTGTGTTCAAAAGGAAAAAAAGAAAAAAAGAAATACACATTTGGTTTCTGCCCCTGGTCCTGGCACAGAGCTTCTAAAGTTCTCATAAAGTTGTCAGTGATAAAATTTATAGGAGCATCATTTGTTTCAATATTTGGTCTTAGTCCCAGGTTTCTAACACAAGAACCTCTAAGACCTTTGGGATCTCCACCATAGTAATAATACAATTAATAATGCTACTGAGATGACTAGGTGACTGAAAGCTCCTAGACAGCTTCAGGAGGAGGGCTGGTTGCCAGAACAAACCATGTGAATAGAGGCTTGGAGCTGTCAGCCTCACCCACTGAGCACCAGGAAGTGCTGAAGATTGACTTAATCACCAATGGTCAATTGATTTCATCAATCATGCCTGCATAATGAGGCCTTCATAAACACCCTAAACAACAGGGTTTGGAGAGTGTCTGGGTTGCTGAACACAAGGGGGATACTGGGAGGGTAACATGCCCAAGAGAAGGCATGGAAGCTCTGTGCCCTTCCCCACATACCTTGCCCTGTGCATCTCTTTTATTTCCTTTTTTTTTGTTTTTGTTTGAGACAAGGTCTGTCTCTGTCTCCCAGGCTAGAGTGCAGTGGCACAATCGTGGATCACTGCAACCTAAGACTCCCTAGCTCAAGCCATCCTTTCACCTCAGCCTCCTGAGTAGCTAGAACTCTAGGCACATGTCACTGCATCAGACTAATTTTTAGAAAAATTTTTTGTAGAGATGAGATTTCACCATGTTGCCCAGCCTGGACTTAAACTCCTGAGCTTAAGCAATGCTCCCACTTCAGTCTCCCAAAAGTGCTGACATTATATGCATGAGCCACTGTGCCCTACATGTACATCTCTTTCACTGGCTGTTTCTGAAATATATCCTTTACAATGAACCAGTAATAGAAGGCAAATTGGTGAGATCCAGTGGTTCATGCCCATAATCCCAGCACTTTGGGAGGTTGAGATGGGAGGATCATGTGAGCTCAGAAATTTGAGACCAGCCTGGGCAACATAACAAGACCCCATCTCTACAAAAAAATAAAAGAATATAGCCAGATATGGTGATGCAGGCCTGATGTCTCATTGGAAGGCTGAGGCAGGAGGATTACTTGAGCCTAGGAGTTCGAGGCTACAGTGGGCTTTGATCACACCACTGAATTGCAGCCTGGCAACACAGTGAGACTCTGTATCTCAGAAAAAAAAGAAAATAACCTGTTTTTCTGAGTTCTGCAAGCTGTTCTAGCAAATGATTCAACCCAAGAAGGGGGTCATGAAGACCCTGGTTTCTAACTGGTTGGTCAAAAGTACATCTAACAACCTAGGACTTGCAATTGGCATGTGAAGTGAAGGTAGTCTTGTGGGACTGAGCCCCTATCCTGAGGGGTCGGCACTAACTCCAGGTAGTGTCAGAACGGAATTGGGGGATACCCAGTTGGTATCCAGATTGTCCAAAAACTGGTGTAGAATCTCCACACGCACATTTGGTTGGAAGCGTCTGACCATAACTACTATTCAAGAAAAAGAACTATTCATTAGAACTAAAAACCATAAAACTGTATGTTCTACAAAACACAAATCAACTTTATCTACAGCCCAGTCCTACTCAACTATAGAATGTTAGAACAAAAAGTCTCCACATGGACTCGAGAACTGACATGAGGAATGTCACAGCCATCCTGCTCTCCAAGGACTCTTCATCTTCAGCGGACAGGGTGGACACTGCAACTTGGGCCATGATCCCTGTGCAAGAAAAGTAGCAAGAATGTGAGTGGTAGAAATCCAGTGTCCTAAACCCACACCCAGAGCTGTGAGAGTTTCTCACTGGCTGGCTAATTTACGGTTTTCTTGCATCAGAGGAAAAATAAGGCTCAGAAACCAGACATTCGATTTGCCCAAAACTCTCATCAGACGGAGAATCCATCCACTAACTTTCTATCCAGTATTATTTCCATAAAGTTATAACAGTATCACTCCCAAAATAAATCCATATGGAACCCAGATTCAGTGCATTTCTCCCAAGTAAAAGAGGAGGCAAGGCTCTTTACAACCCAGTGATGGGCTACCACAACTCAGCACAGGAAAGAGATACACCGCTCCCTTTCTCCCCTGCACAACCTGATACAGAAAAGAGTGGGTGCAATGAAATGAGGCAGGGTAAAGAGAAGTTCCTCTTCTTATTGAGAAAATAGACTGAGAAAATAGTCTTTATAATAAGGCATTTTTTTTTTAGAAAACATTTTCTAATATTTTGGTATCAGCAAAAACCCTCAGATGAATTTCAAACACTATAAAAATACAACACATAAACAGAAAATATTAACTGTCAGCAACAATACAGAAAAATTGGAACATTTATGTATTATTTTTTGGAATGTAAAATGGTACAGACCACTGTGGAAAATGGTTTGGCAATTTCTTAAAATATTAAGCATAGAATTATGTGATCAAACAACACCCTTTAAGCGTATATACCCAAAAGAACTAAGAGCAGGGACTCAAACAGGTATTTGTACACTGCTTAATAGCAGCATTATTCACAGTGATCAAAAGGTAGGACCAACCCTATGCCCATGAGTAGATAAATGAACAAAGAAAATGTAATATATACATACACAGAATAATATTCAGTCATAAAAAGAAAAAAATCTGGCCAGGTTCAGTAGCTTACACTTGTAATCCCAGCACTTTCAGAGGCCAAGGTGGGCAGGTCATTTGAGCACAGAATTTTGAAACCGGGCTGGGCAACATGGCAAGACCACGTTTCTATAAATAAAAAAATAATTTTTTAAAGGAAATGCTGATAGTGTTATAAATGAGCCTTGACAGCATTATGCTAGGTGAAATAAACCAGACACAAAAGGGCAAATATTGTACAAGTCCACTTACGTACAGTATCTAGGGTAAACAAATTCACGGACAGAAAATAGAATAGTAGTTGCCAGGGACCAGGAGGAGGGTTAAATGGGAAGCTATTGCTTATGGGGTACAGAACTTCAGTTTAGAATGACGACAAAGCTCTGGAGATGGAGAGTGGTGATACCTGACAACAGTGCGGATGTGCTTAACACCAGCACTTAAAAATGGTTAAAAGTGTTATTTTATATTACGTATATTTTACAAAATATTAAAATAAAACACCAAAACAATACACCACATAAAGACATACTGAGATGGCAAAATCTGAAGCAAATTTTTAAAGCCCAGATGATTTTTCTGTAAACAGCATATGAATTAGATGCCTATTAAAAATTAGCCCCTTTAATTTAGTTGAATTAATTCTACATTTAGAGAGGCATTAAATAATTAAATGAACTTAATTGGAAGCATAATTGAAAAATTCAACACTAGATGCAGGAAGAGGTACTGTAAAAATATATCTATGTACATAAACTAATTTACTGATAACACTCGAGTATCCCTTAACTAAAGCCCCAGTATTACAGAGAAGATAGACAAACACTTGAGCTGTCAGCAGGAAACTGTTGTACGTAAAAATGTCAGTAAATCTATGTTAAAAAGAACGTTCTATTTTCCTATTATTAAAGGTTGTGTCACCTAGCTTTACCGTCTGTTATCATGTGCATTGGCTACTAGGCCAGATTTAGACATCAACAAGTAATGAAGCATACCTACTTAAGAAGTTACAGTTTATAATAAAAACCATGATCAGAAAAATAATACTGTGCATCATGAAGACCTTCACTTATCACTTAGTTTTCATCTTCATAAGCTTTATTGATCAATATGGTAAAGAGGCATATTACCTTTTATAACACAAACAACTTGTTGTTTAGGAAAGCATACCAAAATAATCATCTTTTATTTCCAAGTGAGGTATTTTAAGAATAATATAATCTATAAAATAGAATAAACATAAAACAGGCCAGGCATGGTAGCTCAGACCTGTAATCCCAGCACTTTGGGAGGCCGAGGCGAGTAGATCACGAGGTCAGGAGATCGAGACCATCCTGGCCAACATGGTGAAATCCTGTCTCTACTAAAAATGCAAAAATTAGCTGGGTGTGGTGGCATGTGCCTGTAATCCCAGCTACTCAGGAGGCTGAGGCAGAGGATCACTTGAACCAGAGTCAGAGGTTGTAGTGAGCTGAGATTGTCCCACTGTACTCCAGTCTGGTGACAGATCGAGACTCCATCTCAAAAAAAAAAACCATAAAACATAAAATCTCTTTTTCTTCTTACCTTCTGCTGCTTCTTCAATTTCTGCTGGTACTGTTCCATCATTGCCTTCTAAAGAATGATGGCTTGCTGAAAAGAAAATAAACATGTAATAAATCAATAAAAATTCATATTGAAAGATAAAAGAGAATCTAGGTAACAATGCAAACACTTTTAAGACATAATATAATATACATAAAAAATGATTCTTTTAACTCAATGCAAATAATATTTTCTAATTCAGAAAAAAATAACACTATTTGGAAGCTAAAAATTATTATTTTAAAATACAAATAAAGAGTAGACCCAAGTGGGTTTGTGGATTTAATATTAGTTACTGTAACTGTATGATAAAATTACTGGATATTGGAACCTGAAGAAGCACAATTATGCTTCAAATACGATGCTCATCTGTCACTGACATACACACACACACACACACACACACACACACACACACACACACACACACACACACACCCTAGCGTGAATGCTTGCATTCCTCAGACACTTCATTAACTCCCTATAAATAAGTTCAGGGTTTGCTGTGGAATGCTCCCCTGCTTTCCATTTTCACTATGGTGAAATCTATGGAAACTCAATTCCCATAGTTTAATCAAAGTTGTACTTAAAGTAACTCATAAGTAAAAATGTAAGATACTACCTTTAGTGTCAAAAACATTTTAATCCAGGTAATATAATCTGCCTGCTTCTAAAAACTGGGACACAAAGCAAAAGATCACTCAGGCAGTCACATGGTAAACAGGCTCATCCTACTAGAGCAGAAGATTATTCACAAATAGGAAACAAAGAATCTAAGATAACAGAGTTTCAGTTAGGAATAAGACCATAAGCTGCCCCCAGTATACATCCTCTGTCCTTAAAGATCTGAGCTACTTACATAGAAAAGACTGAAAAACACTGCCTTCAAGTATAAGTAAAAATATATTACATTTCGGTAACAATACATTGCTTAGGGGGAAGGGAAGCAGATGCTCATCTATTTTGTCCTATCTATGGATAAATAAATTCAGAAGCTGTACTAAAAGTAAAATAAAAGTTACAAATAAACTTTCTCTTAAATTTTAAAGAGTAATGATTACAGTTTGAAAAACTCATTTGGTGGCTACTATTCTTGAATTAAAAGTGCCATATTGAGGTGAAATCTTTCTGGTTTTCAATACCTAGCTTTATAATGTCACAATTATCTTGGGATTCTTTCTGACTTACTGCATATTGTGAAAAGTCACCTGAACTCAAAACTCTAGGTGAATCTATAAATCTATATCTACGAACCCATCTTTAATTCATTTGCAAAATATACTTTCTCTTCAGATATTTCCTTTCTCTTTTTTTAACCTTAATATTTGAATTTAGGGAGCATTAAGTTCTTTGACTGTAAAGTCAAAGAAAAAAGAGATGTGAGGTCAAAGGAATGACAGATAATAAAGAAGAGGCCAGTAACTAGAAAGTAAAATTTCAGTAAAGTTAAAATGGTTGTTCACGTTACTACCCAAACATCAAGGGTTTGGCCCAGGTCCTGCTGCTCACCAGACCGAAACCCAGTCACTGAGGCGACAAGTACTGCCAAGCAAGAAAGCTTTAACTTGGTGCTGCAGCCCAGGAGATGGGAGCTCAGTCTCAAATTTATCTACTTGACTAAAACTAGGGTCAGGAAAGAAATGTAATAATGTATAAGAGGACAGAAATGAAGGAGTGGCAGGAGGCATCTGGTGTTGTGATCTGGTATGTTTCAGTTATTTGGTATTTCCTGAAGGTCTTTTTTTGAGGAGAGAAATCAGATAAAGCAGATACAAGTTTCAAGGTTTAACAGCAGGGTCAACTCTTACGATGATCCAAAAGAAAAAAAAAAACCACCAATGGGACAACTGGGCCAGTGTCAATGCGAGCAACGATTCTATAGATCCTTTTTTTGTTCAAAATCTAAAATAAACAATTAAATTCATATTACATGCTAAAACTAAGGAAAATACATCTTATATGATCAAAGCCAAAAGAGATAGAATTAAAACCTACTACTAATAGTCCATGAGTGTCAAGTTTGTGAACACTATAAAAAAATTCAAAAAAGGTAATAAATACATAAAACTTACAAATTAACAAGTACTATTTCAGAATTCTTCTAAATACTAAGTACATGACCTTATCAATATTTGCATTACTAACCACACAATAAGAACCTGACTTCTGACTATTCTGAGATAAGGTATAAATGTGTACCTTTACCTTAACTGGGAAAGTGGGTCATGTGCCCACTTCGAGATTCACAAAAGACAAAAGAGAAAACTGATTTGAAAAATTGTTGTTTGTGATGTTCATGTATACGTTAAGAAAAGGCCAATATAATTTCTCCTTTTCAATACAGAAAAGTAATACTATAGTTATAAATAGTAAAACACAGTCTGTTGAATACAAGGAACCATTAAATACAAGCAGTATGTAGGAAAATGGAGGTAAAAAGACTATAGCTTGCAAAGACTTCAGGAAAAGTTTTGCATCAATGTCATCAGTTTCAGAAGGGCATGTTTTAGGATACAAAGATAATACTTCAGCAGTAACCCCCACTCCCCGGGCCAGAGGCAGTGACTGATGCTTGTAATCCCAGCACTTTGAGAGGCCAAGACAGGCAGATCACTTGAGGTCTGGAGTTCGAGACAGACCTGGCCAACAGGGTGATACCCCATCTCTACCAAAAAATACAAAAATCAGCTAGGTGTAGTGGCATGCACCTCTGTAGTCTCAGCTACTCGGGAGGCTGAGGCAAAAGAATCCCTTCAACCTGAAAGGCAGAGGTTGCAGTAAGCCAAGATTGCACCACTGTACTCCAGCCTGGGCAACAGAACGAGAATCAAAAAAAAAAAAAAAAAAAAGTCATTTCACATAGAGCTAGGCTGCACAGCTCACTCTTATTTATTTATTTATTTATTATTATTATACTTTAAGTTCTAGGGTACATGTGCATAACGTGCAGGTTTGTTACATATGTATACTTGTGCCATGTTGCTGTGCTGCACCCATCAACTCGTCAGCACCCATCAACTCGTCATTTACATCAGGTATAACTCCTAATGCAATCCCTCCCCCCTCCTCCGTCCCCATGATAGGCCCCAGTGTGTGATGTTCCCCTTCCCGAGTCCAAGTGATCTCATTGTTCAGTTCCCACCGATGAGTGAGAACATGCAGTGTTTGGTTTTCTGTTCTTGTGATAGTTTGCTAAGAATGATGGTTTCCAGCTGCATCCATGTCCCTACAAAGGACACAAACTCATCCTTTTTTATGGCTGCATAGTATTCCATGGTGTATATGTGCCACATTTTCTTAATCCAGTCTGTCACTGATGGACATTTGGGTTGATTCCAAGTCTTTGCTATTGTATATACCCAAAGGATTATAAATCATGCTGCTATAAAGACACATGCACTCGTATGTTTATTGCGGCACAGCTCACTCTCTTAACCATCATGTAATTCTGCCCACTTTATGCTATGCTTGGTCACTGATGCACTTGTATGGTAGCTCATGACCCCCTTACAGTTTAGAACCTAGGTTTCATTTCCTGCTCTACAGCTATATAATTTAACAATTTTCCTCTGAGTTTCTTGGATTCTAACCCTATATATAACAAATCTTATTAATATTACTGAATCTTAAAGGGGACTGTGATGTCTTTAGTCTCTAGAAATATTAAATAACCCATAAACAAAGGACCATATGAGGGTAAACAGAATCCAAAATTTCTATATACTTTTAAACAATGAGGCAATGTACTGGGAAACACACCTAAGAAACTGCAACCAATTTACTCTGGACAAAAATTTAGACACTGTCTCTTCAAAATAAGCTATCTGGTAGTACTTATGCATATTCTTACATATATCAACAGTATTTTACATGCCATAACCTTAAAAATAATTTTAAAAGTGTCAAAATTACAGGTCTTAATCCATTTCTGTGGGCTTGAAAAATGATACAATATACAATTTGTTTCTTTAAAGTATTCAATAAAATGCATAAACTTCTAGAGCAATCACTAAAAAAAGAGTTCATACTAAAGGTTGTAATACTAGGAAAGAGGGCTCAACACTGCAGGTTCTTAAAGGCAAACGTTAATAAAGCCTTGTTTTTGGTTGTGAATCTTGGGCTTAAAACATTATTTGCATGATCCCCACTTCCTTTTCCTGTTGTAAAGATATGTTGACAAACCAGGTCTGCTCTTGCAGATAATACTCTTGAAAATTGTGGCAGAGAAATATAACATGAAGGGAATATAGTTTACTTAATGACCTCCTAATTGGAACTTATTACCCCCATGCCTCTTACATATCTCCAGACTAATATGTGAGAGAGATGAAACAGCTGTTTGATACCAATATTTTATTTGATACTTCATTTTTTAGTCCTTGAATAACTACTTACAATGCATTAACAGGAATAGGAAAGCATAGCTATTCAAGTAACTAAATAATTATGCAAATTTCTAAAACATAGTAATGAACCAATTATTTTAAAAATACAACACACTGACAAGTACTTTATTTTTAACTCAGTTTTCGTTTGTTGTTAATGCCATTGCTTGGTAAAAAGCAAAAAAAAGCAGGAGGAGATAGAGGAGAAACAAGAATAGAAACAAGAAATAGAAGCAGTGGCATAAGCAAATAAAGAGGAAGAAAAAGACGATAATGAGAATGAAACAGACTGGAAGCAAGGAAAAAGAACAGGTGAGTAAATTGGAAGGCCTATTATGATACCTTTTTCCCCTCCTCGATTCATGAAATTACAAAAAGTTTAAGACTTTTTCACAACAATGATGACAACAACAACAACAACAACAAAAAAAAAACAAGCAAAAAGATACACAGTCACCCCCTAAATTTTGTTAAGAGGGAGATAATGCTCCACTTATGCCTGGCTCAGGTGCCAGCAGAAAGACGGGATCCTCCAGATTCTGCAGGAGAAAGGGGAGGACTCCTCCTTGCCCTGGCTGCACCTCCACTGCTGCCGCCAAGGCCCATGGTACAGCACCCACAGCTTCCTACGCATGCCAGACAAGGCGGCCCCTCAGCGCTCCTACTCCCACTTCCCAGGACCTGAGACTTGCTGCTGCTGCCACCACTAGGGCCAATGCCAATACCACCACCGCTGCTGTCACCCTCGATGCACCGGCACTCCCTACAAGGCTCCTACCACCTGGCCACAGCCACAGCCCTACCCCCAACCGTGGCCACAGCTGGCTGCCCTCCTACTTACCACTCCAGTGTGCCACCCACTGCAGTGAGGCCATCTGCCATGTCCCAGTCTCCAGGCTTCAGGCTCCAGTGTGTGGCTGGTTGCTCCTCCTTCTGGCACAGAGCAGCTTGGTGGACAAAGCAAGAAAAGCCTAGAACATGATGCAGGAAGTGGTAGCATTAGAGCCTCACCTTGTCATGCTGGCCACGGGGCAGCAGTGGCAGGCTTCAGCTAAGGTACTCACACCCACCCTCCAAAGTACAGCTTCTCCATCTGGCCCAAGCTGGCCAGGAAGTGAGGCCTGGGATGGGGACTGGAGACTCCACAGTGGCCAGCTCCCTACCTCGCAGGAACTGCTGGGCTCACGGGGCCTGCACTCCTTGGAGAACAGCAACAGCAGAAACACAGAACCAGCCACCCCCCCACACCCAAGTGCCAGTTTCCATTCCTGATGCCTCCACCCACAGGGCCCAGTCCCCCCATGATTGTGACTCCATGCCCAGGGATCCTAGGTTGTCTCAACACAGAGCAAGAGGACACAGACTGGGAACCATGGCGAGTGTGGGAGCCCTGCCACACTCATGATTCCCATGGAAACACTGTGCACCTGCCGAGCACCATCACAAGCAGGAGGAGGTCTCCCTTTAGAGTCTGGAGTCCAGCTCCTTCCTTGGAGGCCACCACTATGGGGGCAACCTCTGCCACCTGCCACCACCAGCAGTGCAGCCCCTGATAGCACCCCTAACCCACCACTGGCAGTGAAGACCCTGATAGTGCCCCAAACACCTTTCCACTCCCCAGCAGTGTATCCCCCTGACAGCGCCCCCAACCCTTCCCCACCTCAAACACTGCAGCACCAGTAGTGCCCCCAACCCGCCCCCCACCATGGGAAGTGATGCCCAGGATAGCACCCCAGCCCATCCATCACCCCCAGGCAGCACAGCCCTGGATAGCACCACAACCTGCTCCCTGCTGCAGGCAGTGATACCCAGAATAGCACCCCCAACACGCTCCCAACTGCGGCAGTGCAGCTGAAAATATGCACCTACCACAGCCACCTTTCTACCACTCCAGCAGCAATGCAGTCTCTGTCGCATCCACCAGGCTCAGCGAGGTGAGCTGCAGTGCCGCAGGCTCCAGCCTCCAACTTGTGACAGGGAAAACCACCTTCTCCTCCCGTAGCAGAGCATGGAGGAGCTGCAGGGGGTCCTCCACCATCTTATGCTCTGGCTGGCTTCAGTCTGGCTCCTCACCACCAATGTTCTGATTCAATGAGAGAAAACCTCTAGGCCTATTGTGATTGGACTTTATTATCATGTTCTGATTGGTTATCCTAAGACTTGCTCTCATCCAGTCAGAACATGTAGTCCAGAAATCTCAGCATATAAAGCATGCTAATGGGAAGTCAGGCCATTCCAGGCTCTTCTGCATCTGTCTGTTCTGCTGGTGCATGCCTGGCTTGGAAGTGGGGAATGGGTTGCACATGGTGGCATATGCCTGTAATCCCAGCACATTGAGTAGTCAAGGTGGGTGAATCACGAGCTCAAGAGTTCGAGACCAGCCTGGCAAAGATGGTGAAACCCCGGTCTCTATTAAAAATACAAAAATTATCTGGGTGTGGTGTGCTTGTAATCCCAGCTACTCGGGAGGCTGAGGCAGGAGAACTGCTTAAACCCGGGAGGCGGAGGTTGCAGTGAGCCAAGATAACACCACTGCACTATAGCCCAGGTGACAAAGCAAGACTCTGCCTCAAAAAAAAAAAAAAAAGGGGGGGGGGGGTGGAAGAGCGAGCCAACTGCTGCATACTGGAGGCTGTAGCCTGCAGCTTCATGGCTGGGCTCACTGCAGTGAGTGTCAGCAAAGGAGACTGCAGTGTGGCAGGAGCCACAGGAGGGCTGCCAGCAGCGGGAGCTGCCTGGTGCCCTGCTACAGGAAAAGGAGAAGGAGTAGCCCCTGCTACAGACTGGAGGCTGGAGCCTGCGGCACCTCAGCTTGTCTTACTGAGGCTGGTGTCTGTGAGGAGACCACAGCGTGGCTGAAATGGTTGAAAGGTGGTTGGGTAGGAGTATATCTGCAGCTGCACTGCCCGCGGCAGTGAGTTGGGTGTGCTATCAGAAGCTAAACCACTGGTGGCAAGAGGTGGGTTGGGGTGGTTTGGGGGTGCTGCACTAATAGATCTAGATGGATTTCCAGTACTATGTTAAATAATAGTGGTGACAGTGGGCATCTTTATCATGTTCCATCATCTGTCCATCTGGGACAGAACACTACATGGGGACACAGAGATGGGTCACTTCAAGGTACAATGCTCTTAACATATACCTCAAACTGATGCAGACAGAAACTTCTACATGCCATCAGAAAAAGAAGAAAAAGAAACATGTTTGGAAAGTGGAAAGTGCTAAAATCAAAACTAACAATTGATCTGGAATAAAAATGGCTATTTGTTAACAGATGCTGGCAAGGCTGCAGACAATAGGAAACTCCTATTCTCTGTCACTGGGAATGTAAACTAGGTCAGTGACTATGGAAAGCAGTTTGGAGATTTCACAAAAAATGTAAAACAAAGCTACTAATTGACCCAGCAATCTCATTACTAGGCATATACCCAAAAGAAAATGTTCTACCAACAAGACATATGCAAACCTGCACACACAGCACCTCTATCTACAATAAAAGTTGGTATTATTATTATTATTATTATTATTTGAGATGGAGTCTCGCTCTGTCACCCAGGCTGGAGTGCAGTGGCGTGATCTTGGCTCACTGCAAGCTCCGCCTCCCGGGTTCACACCATTCTCCTGCCTCAGCCTCCTGAGTAGCTGGGACTACAGGTGCCTGCCACCATGCCCGGCTAAATTTTTTTTGTTTTTTTTTTTTTTGTATTTTTAGTAGAGACAGGGTTTCAACATGTTAGCCAGGATGGTCTTGATCTCCTGAACTCGTGTTCTGCCTGCCTCAGCCTCCCAAAGTGCTGGGATTACAGGCATGAGCCACCATGCCCAGCTAGACATTATTTTAAAAAGTGTTTATTTGTGAAAATTTTTCACCCATGGTAGGGATGAAGAAGAACATTCTCGTTAAAGTCAAGAGACACACACAGGAAGGCAGCCCTGAGCGCAGGGCTAGGAAAGCCAGAAGCACCAGCAACTTTGGTACACGCCAGCAGGTGCTGGCTGAAACAACAGGTACCCTGGGGAAATGGAAAGGAGTTACTTAGACACAGTTGCTGATTCTTGAATTTCATATTTTTCCCAGGATGTCTGTTATTTTCTTATCCTCCTATGTTTAGACACATGGCCCTCAGAGGTGACTTGTTGGCTGCAGAATGAAAAATTAATCATTGTCCTTTAGTAAAGATAGAGGGAGTTATGCAATTTCATAAACTGTCCATATGTGATGACAGAAATCCAAAAACAACACATGGAGAAAATACATTATATTCATGATTAGAAAAACTCATTATCATCAGGATATATGTTCTTCCCAATGTAGAGACCTAACGCACTTCTAATCAAAACAGAAGAAAATTATATTATGAATACAGAAAAGCTAATTCTAAACCTTATATGAAGAAAAAGACCTTGAATAGCTAACACAATACTGAAGGAGAACAAAGTTGGAGGAAAGACAGGCAGTACCCAACTTCAAGATTTACTATAAAGCTACGGTAATCAAGGCAGTATCATACTGATCAAAGAATAGACAGATTAATGAAATAAGACAGAGAGTTTAGAAATTAAGACACATCAATATATTTAATTAGTCTTTGATGAAAAAGTAAAGGCAATATAATAAAACAAAGATTGGTTTCTTCAGAAAGTGGTGCTAGAATAACTTGAATATCCACATGTAAAAAAATTAATCAGATCTCACTCCCCCACCAAAATTAACTCAAAATGAAATCACAGACCTAAATGTCAAATACAAAACTATGAAATTTCTGGAAACTCTAGACTCCCTTGGGTATGATGATTTCTAGAAAAAAATGCCAAAGTTACACTACAAAAAGAAATAATATCCTAAGTTGGACTTGACTTAAATGTCACATTTCTGTCCTGTTAAAGCCTTTGAAAGTGAAGACAAGCCACAGACGAAGAAAATATTTGAAAAACCATGTTTGAATAATGAATTTTATCCAAAATATACCAATAGTCTTAAAATTGAATAAGAAACAAACAACCCAATTAAAAAGTGAACTAAAGACTGTAATAGGCATCTCAACAAATAAAATATACAAATAAAAATTAAGCATATGTAGTGATGCTCCATGTAATATTTCCTTAGGGAAATGCAGTAATGAGCTACCACTGCACATCTATTAGAATGACCAAAAGCAAGAACATGGGCACCCACTTTAATCACATGGTCCTTATCACAAAGGGTGCTGTGGGTTTTAACTCTGCAAGTTTGCTGTGTAAAGAATATGATATATATATGGTATAGTAAAATAAATCTTTTATTTATTTATTTATTTATTTATTTAGAGTCTCTGTTGCCCAGGCTTGAAGTGCAGCAGCATGAATAACCAAACGATAACCCAAATCTGTAAGACTGAAAATGTCAAAAGCGGTCAAGGATGTGGAGCAACAGGACTTCTCATTCCTTGTTTGTGGCACAATCGCACATAACTGTACCCACAAACCCATGAACTTCTGGGCCCAAGTGATCCTCCAACAATCAATCTCCCAAGTAGCTATGGCCACCGGCATGCACCATGACGCCTGGCTGATTTGTTTTGTTTTTCTAGAGATGAAATCTCCCACTGTTGTCAAAGCTCGCCTGAAACTCCTGGGATAAGGTGATCCTCCTATCCCCGTCTTCCAAAGTGCTGGAAGAACAGACGTGAGGCACTGCACCCAGGCCGGAAGTCTTTAAATAGAATGAGTTCAATTTAACTGTTTCTCCATCTGCTCTACTCAGCTAAGTCTCATTCTCAGTTCAAAGGAGAGAATCGCAGCACTGCCCCATCCAGGATGGCTGCAGATCACACCACACCACTGCCATTCTCCAGATGTGGGTCAATGAGGAAGGGATCCTCAGGCCTAGCAGCAAGTGCACTCAGCAACCTTGAAGCGTTCCAAAAAGGACCTGTCATCCATGCCCATCTGGGCTCTAGCTGCTACCTGCATTTGGCACACAGGCAAATAC